GCGGAATTTTTCCCGTTAACTATTTTTGATGTTTTCTCAATATTATTATTATTTTTAGTACACTAAAAAGTAATTTTAAAAGAAAGAAAAATATGGACATATTTCGATGTATAATTATATATGATTATGAATATTTTATGCATGTTTAGATATATTTATACATATTTATACATATCCAGCAAACAAAAGTGGATTAAAATGAATTGGAAATTTTAAATCTATCCGAATCCATATTTTAAATTCATAAAAATGGATTGGATATAAAAAAATGTATATGTAAGAGTTTAAATAAATTAAAGTAGTAATTATATGAAATTCTATAGTTTTTATTTTAAAACTTTTATACAAAAAATTACGCTAGTTGTATAGTAAAAAAAATGCATTAAAAAATATATAAAAGCGATTTATTTATTATATAATTTTATAATTTATATAATTTATTATATAATTTGCACACAAATATAAATTTTAGAAACGGAGTTACTTTTGCGTATATGTATCATTGCCTACAGTTCGATTGCCTACATGTATTATTGCTTACAGTTTGATTGCCTACAAGAATTTTAGAAACAGAGTTACTTTTGCCTACACGTATTATTGCCTACAGGCCTACAGGATTGCCTACATACATTATTGCCAGCTCACAACCTTCCACGCGAAATGAGGGCCATTTTACAGCAAAAAATGGGGATTGGTTGGGATTAAATTTTTTTGGAAAAATATTCCAATGTCCAAGCGGACACTGTTTACGCACCCCACTGTTCACATGACAGATTTCCTAAAAATATAAATTATTTTCTTACTTAACTTTAATTTTATATTTGTGCGCAAAAGTGCATGTAAGCAATAGAGCTGTAGGTAATAATACTTGTAGGCAATAATACATGTAGGCAAAAATAACTCCGTTTCTAAAATTTTTATTTGTGTGTAAAAGTGCATGTAGGCAATTGAACTGTAGGCAATCATTTTTGTGTACAAACGAACTGTCGGCAAAAGTGATGTAGGCAAACGGGATCCTTCCCATATTTACATATTTCTTTTCATGTCTCATTTAAGTCCTGATAAAAATGCATGAATAAGTATAAACATACATAAACACGCAAAAATATTTATAAACACGTATAATAATATATGTGAAATATGTCTATACATGTTCGTACATCCTTCTTTCTTTTGTGAAATTACTTTTTAATGTAACAGAAATAATAATAGTAATGTAAAAACATAAAAAATAATTAAAGGAATAATTTTCGCATTGTTCGCTTTAGAAAAAAAATAAGTTTGGAAAAATGTAACAAAAATTGTTCATACATAATTATGCATAATTATGTATATATAATTATACATAAATAATTGTTTTACATTTCTTCAAACTCTCTCTTGATTTTTTCTAAAACAAATAGTGCGAAAATTACCTTTTTAATTATTTTTAATGTTTTCATATTACTATTATTATTTCTATTGCACCAAAAAGTAATTTTACAAAATAAAAAAGAATGTATAAACATATATGGACATATTTCATATATAATTATACATGTTTATGAATATTTATGCGTATTTATGTATGTTTATACATATTTATACATATTCATGTATGAACGATTTTTTTGACGGGATATTAAATTAAGTCGAATTTATGATATATTTTTACAATATAACTTTTTTTTTAACTCAGTTGAATTAAAACAAAAAATTTCTTATTCATAATATTCATTCTGAATAAAATAGCATTTATGATGCATTTTTAAATGAAACAATAAAATTTCTCATAATTTTGAATTAAATAGTATTCATGGCCCATTTTAAGAAAATTAAAAGAAAAATTCTTTTTTAATTAAATTAAATTAAAACTGCCTTCTGCTTTAATTCTTATTCAGAATTTTTAGGATTCAAAAACTGCATTTCCTATTCAGAATTTTAAATTAAGCAGTATTCACAATGTACAAAAATGACCGATATTGTTTTTATATTTAACTAGATTGAAAAACTGCGTTTTCTATTCGAAATTTTGAATTAAACAGTCTTCACAATTGTGTGTGTGTGTGTGTGTGTGTGTGTGTGTGTGTGTGTGTGTGTGTGTGTGTGTGTGTGTGTGCTTTTG